AAGGACCACAAAGCAAGTGCCACATCAACATTGTCATCGCTTAGGTCTTGGCTTTTAAGCTTTATCTTCTACTACTTTAATTTTGAAATTAGCTTCACACAATATCATCATTTTCCAGGAGAGGAAGAGTCCAACTCATGAGCTGATACAAAAAATCAGGAAAGTAGCAGGGGATTGGTTGCTGATTGAAATCTTTAAAACTTTCACAACTAAGGTGCGAATTATGATTCCTTTGATAAACAATAGTTCGAAGTATCATAAGGACCACAAAGAAAGTGCCAAATGAACATTGACATCACTTAGTTCTTGGCTTTTAAGCTTTATCTTCTAGATAGCTTTAATTTTGGAATTACCTTAACAGGTTGTCATCATTTTCCAGGAAGGGAAGATTCCAAGGCATGAGCTGATACGAGAATTCAGGCAAGTAGGTGGGGATAGGGTGGTGATTGGAATCATTAAAAGTCTCAAAACTGATGGGATAATTTGAAGGTGAAACACTCACAACTCTAATGAATTTGGTTTAATTACTAACATGCCCCGTAAAACCGAATTCTCTTCCATTAATCATTCCAAGCAGACTCTTGAACTTCTGAAAGGCATCAATCTTGAGAGGTTTCATAAATATATCTGTTACTTGATCTCTTGTCTTCACATGCGACACTTCAATTTCCTTCTCTCAGAATTAAGGTGTGGATTATGATTCCTTTGATAAACAGTAGTTCGAACGCACATATAGGCCTTTATGTCAAGTCATGGATAGAGAGAGGTTAGGTTGCAACTTTTACACAACTTGGATGATGGTTTCTGTTGCGGTGAGTTGATAGTGAAAATTGAGGTTGACGCGTGGAATAATTGCAGGATAATTATTCTTACTGATTTTTACTGTGGGTGGGTGGATTCATTAGCCTTTGCTTGCCTTAGATATATGCATTTACATTTGGCTTTAGGGTTATAGCCATTATAGTTTGCTATGTATTATATGTTATAGTTCTTTGCACACAAGTTTCTTTTTGATCAAGCAGTTCTCTCTCTCTCTCTCTCTCTCTCTCTCTCTTGTTGGTCATTGATTTAGTGTTATTGTATAGAGAATAAAACATCTCTTTAGCATTGCATACTTACTATACACAAGAGAACTGAGTATAGTTCATTCCGTTTTACAGCAATTTGGGGCGTGAAGAGGCTGATTATGGGAGTATGGATGGACTTGAATGTGAATGGGATGTGAGGGGTGTTAATAAGTTTGGTTTTCATTATTGATGAGTTCCTCGCACACATCAAACCCAGCCAATGGTACACAAGATGTGGACGAGGAGGTGCATTTGGAATCATAGATAGGAAAAAGACTCTTTGGAATTTGTATGATATGCTGATCTTTTGGAATGATTGTGTTTACTTATAATCATCAACTGTAGTTTTTTCTTGGTTCCTATGTCGCATGACTGTTTCCAATGGAGATGGAGACCTTTGGATTTTGTATGATTGGCTTGTCTTTTGGAATATTTGTTTGCTTATGGACCTCAACTGTAGTTTTCCCTTGGTTCCCATGTCACATGACTACATGTTTCTAATGGAGAATGGGAAATCCTAGTGAAAGCAAAACTTTTCTTTGTTTGACATGTTGTGGGAATATTTACTGTATGATCTGTGTAATTACATAGGATATAATAATATTTCCATGAAATAACTTGTCGCAAGACAACCAGATCTCGAAATTTTGGTGGCAAGCCTCGATAAAAATGGCGGAATAGGGCTTGAGCTAGGAATGTTTAGGGGAAGAGTTATCTCTATCCACCTCTTTTTCAAAATTATGCATCTTTATTCAGCATGGTTCATGATATGTCTATTCAGGTTTCCTTTATGGGAGAGTAGCTTAGAGGTACTATGTGAGCCTGTCTATAAATGGTAGTCAACCTTATCAATGTGGTGGTGCTTGCTTTGCCTTCAAAGATGCAAAACTGCAACTAAAAGTTTTCCTCCTTTGATAGGTAGCTTAATCTGCGGATTGGAGGTTAGATTCATGCCAAAATTAAGCTTGATTTCAATTGATTAAATTGAAAAAAAAAAAAACAAGGTCAGAGAATGTTATGGAAGAAGCCCAAGCCCAAGTCCCTGGTCATTCTTGAGCTCGACCACTAAGGACCCGGCCACAAGTGTCGGGTTTTCCATGCTCCAGCGACGACGTCTCTGGTCCAAGCATCCATGTCTACTCGTACTTCGAAAATTGATTTCTAAAATTTAAAAGAGAAAATCATTTTCCTTAATTTTAGGCCAAGTTTTTCGTTAACTATGAAAATATTTACCGTTGACTCATTTTTCTAAAGGATTCCAAAGCCGAAAAATGTTTCCAGATAAAAAAAATTTCGCGAAATAAATAGTGCTTCACAAGGAAAATAGTTGCTGGGACTGGATTGCATTCGCTCTTTTGACTTCCTTTTCTTTTTTGGGAAAGCTGTACTTCTTTGCTTACTGGAAAAAAACGTCTAATCCCAATCTAGTCCTGCTGATTTAGAGTGAACACAAGACAAGAACGATGGATTGATTACGTCAGCCTTACTAGAGTCCTCGATGCCCACGGGACCCCACTGCCCAAGCTTGGGTCCACAGCACTTAAACTTGGAAGACCGAGTTATATGCAAGACTTTTCTGATATACGTGTTTCATAATATTCCCGAATTATTAGTTGAAATGTGACTTCCATATTATTTGTAAAGTATAATAAAAAAAATGGTAATTTGAAAATATTTTTTTAGCAAAGTTATTTTTCCGTGAAGAAATTCGAGGCTTAAATTTTTTTTTATTTTTGTTCGAATTGAGACGGTGTTACGATTTTTCAAATAAAGTGGGGCCATTTCTTACAAAGTTCACGGATGTGTGGTGGAAAGACATTTCTAGAGCTGCAGCTTGACAGCACTAAACCTATCCCATGTTTTAATTTTATTCCTTCTTTACCTGATGTGATAAACCCTATCCCATGTTTTAATTCTATTCCTTCTTTAACTAATGTAAAAAACCTTATCCCTTGTTTTAATTATATTCCTCCTTTTGCTGATGTAATAAACCTATCTTAACTGGACGAGTAATAATTGTCCTTCCGTCTTAAGTAATTTGATTTTCTTGCTTGGCCAGAAGAGAACATATTCCTTTTCTTTTTCGGACATAAAATCTCTTTTACCTCTTTTTGACATCTTGGGGAGAAAAAAGATGCCATAAATATTAGGAGTATGCAAAACGGACCGCCCAGACAGGACCGGACCGGCCGGTTTGGTCCGGTTTCCAGGAGTGTCAGTCTAGTTCCCAGTTCCTAAAAGTGGAATCGGTGTTCGGGCGGTCCCGTTCCCGGTTCCAAGGGGGAACCAGGCCGGATCGGACAGACCGGATCGGACCGACTATATATATATTTTAATTTTTTTCAAAAAATTAGTAAAATGTTAACTAAACCGTAAATGAACTTCATCGACATCAATTCATTGACAAAAATTAGTAAAATGTGACCTAAACCCTAAGTGAACTTTATTGATATAAATTCATTGACAAAAATTAGTAAAATGTGAACTAAACCCTAACTGTTTGACCAAAAAATAGAACTAAACTCTAAGTGACCGCTTTCCGGTTCTAGGAACAACCGGTCCGGTCCCCGGTTCCCAAAATTGGGAACTGGTTCTCCCGGTCCGGTTCCAGGATCCACCTTAGAACCGAACCGGACCGGGAACCGATCACCCCTAATAAATATCGCTTTGCTCTGCAAATCGAAAAACAAACGTATAAATGTACTATATTGTCCAATTATTGATTAATAAAGTGAGTTGAAGGCAATCGATATATCCGTTGTTTTCGTTATTGCAAATCGAAAGAGAACATTACTGGATCCCATATCATTGTAATTGCACGAAACTCAATTTTTATATTATTGAATTTATATACACTTTACTTGATGCTCGCATAAACTATGAAGAAATGATAGGCTGGTCATTACTTGAGAAATTTGTCTACGAAATTACATCAATTATTCTTATTTATCAAACAGCTCAATGTGTTCATAACAAAGTTCATCGTCAGAAGCTTAACGTAATAGTTGAAGATGAGCCACATTACCTAAGCCCTTATCTACGTACCGACTTTCCAATAATTTGTTGACTTCTCTTTTTTGTCTCTCTCAACCACCCATTTTGCTTCTCCTTATCAAGAAATGTTTATTCTTTCCTCATAGGCAATGAGTTAGATGTCCACGCGAACCAAAAGAGGCAAATAATACTAAGAATTCGACACGTAACTAGCAAACAACGAGATAAAGCGATTTAGCCATGAAATTCAAAAATATTGTGATGCGCCTATTGAAGTATTCATGAGAAGTTGATATGTCACTTTTGTTTATTTTAAGCTAAATGGCAATCTTGGCTATTCCTTAATTCAAAAACAACTGTACATTTTTCAATTTTAGTACACAAATTGTCAATAATACTCTGAAACCAAATTTTCTTGCTTAGTTCCTCGTCATAACTCCGGCACACATCAATAGAATGTTTATTTATGAGGTAATATATGAGCTTTTAGAGGCTTAATTAAGTCCGTGAAGGAGCGGCAATCGTTGCGTTGGCAATTATAATTATTTTACCTTTCTCATTTCACTAATAGTAGCTATTATCAAACCGTTTTCATCATATTCTGGTGCGTAAATAAATTACGGTATGTGTTAGTTGACTGATACAGCAAGATTTTCAATTTCAATTTCCTGGTCATGCATGACACATGGAAGACGATGTTTGATTATTAAACCGAACTTGTTAACTAGTTCTTTTTTTGTTCGGAACCAAATCTTCTTTGTTTAAATATTCAACAAGTGCACTTAGATTTCCTATTAATTTAAAAACAAAAGAATTCATTAATTGTTCCATATCAGTGTTAACAACCGATACTGCCAGAAAAAAAAAATGAAGAAGATTGTAGATACAATACGTGGGTCGGTGGACGTGTGAGAGGCACGAGACAGAAGGCCGCTCCGTCGGTTTTCTTCTTCAAAATCCTCCTCTTACAAACTCAAACACGCCTCTTCCTCTTATTCATTCACACACTTAATCCATTGAAGACATTACGCACACTCGCCGACCAACCTCCATTTCTTTCGTTCCAGAAACTGGGTATGAGTCCTTCTTCTTCTTGCTTCGATCGGAATCTTTATCGAAGCCCACAGAATTCGATCTCCAGAAAGCCTCTATAAGCTTCCAGACATGCGCACCCTTGTTTCTGAGAATTAGATTTCAACTTTCTCATTTCTGTGTTCGGCCGCTCTGTTTGTTTGCCATCTTTTCTTGCTTCACTCGATGACCAGACCTCGAGAATCTGTCCTTTAGTGCTTTTGGTTGGCATTTCGGCAGGCTTGGTTTTGCAACTGCGATCACTCCATGGACTGAAAGCTTTGGATCTTCGTTGGTTCTGTGTTTCGATTGTTATTTGTTCAATCCATACCGTTTTGCGGTAGTTTTTTGTTCTAGCGGTAGTAAAATTTTTGTGAATCGCTTCGTTTTTGTTTGTTTTTGGGACACAGTATTTTGAGACGTTCCATCTTCGGTCAAGAATGGTGCACTGCATGAATCAATGTCAGTCACCAACTCTCCAGACCGCAAATCCTGATGCAGTAGCACTCGAATTCAACCGTCCGGCAATTGATCTCAATCGTCTGGCTCAGGACGATCAGATGGACGATCAGGATCCGAATTCATCCGTCTCCAATTGCAAGACTATTGTCTCTGCCGGTCAATCTGGCACTCCTCCGTTGCTTTTCATCAGCGGTGGGTTGATGGAACTCGGCGAGGGAGACAAGGCCTACCGCCTTATCAAGGAGAGATTTGTTTCGAGGCTAGCTGCGTTCGGGGTGCAAGTTACCTTGGTGGCAATCCACCAGAATTGCTACTCTGGTGTCTCGGCGAAAGGACGGGCCCAAGCGTTTCAGGTTCACTCGCAGGCAGTGCAGATGAAAGGTGGTGACAACACTGCCAACATAGTGCACGCGTGGTACGCGACCTCGAAGGAAGAGGTATCCAAGATCTTGTCCTATGGATTTGGTTACAGTGGGAAGCCTGAGAACAATGGCTTGTATGGTTGTGGAGTTTATTTGGCTCCTCATGATCATCTTCTCGAAAGGTACCGGAGTTCCTCTTCTTTTCCCTTTAATTGCGTAAACAATTGAGAGATACTATTTGAAAAATTGCAATATCATGAAGATATGTTAATTTGGCATATTATTGTACTTCCCTTTCAAGGTATGATCAATTAAATCAAATACAAGTAGTATATTTCTCGAGCATATGTGTCTTGACTCATGTTAGTATGATGTGCATGTGATGATATAGGCCTTAGTTTCTTTGTAATGCTTTGGCAATGTTGAATCCGCCCTTAATAATTGCACAAATAAACGAGAGGTTAGGTTTGGAAAATGGTAATGTGATGAAGATATGTTGATTTAGCTTGTTAGTGTATTTCCCTTTTAAACCATGATCGGTTAAATTTATAGAACGTGCATGTTTCAAGAGCATGTTGTTTGCTGGCTCATGTTAAAATGTTGTGCATGTGATGATATTGGAGTTAGATAGTTTCTTTGTAATGCTTTGGCAGTGTTAAATCCGCTTCTATCGATGAAGATGGCCTGAGGCATCTTTTGCTTTGCCGGGTCATACTGGGGAAATCGGAGCTTGTCAGTCCTGGCTCGGAACAGTCTCATCCCAGTTCGGAGGAGTTTGACTCGGGAGTCGACAACTTATCATCTCCTAGGAGATACATTGTTTGGAGCACCCATATGAATACTCACGTGTTGCCGGAGTACATTGTCAGCTTTAAAGCCCCTTGTTGCTGGAGAGGTAATAAAATTTTCTTTCTCATTCATGCTTTTGCATCGACCATTTTTGTGTGTTTGACTTTGTCTGTTCAATCAACCATATTTGATGGTTTGTGAGATAAATATGAAATAGGGTGCTTGGCAACTCCGGAGAAGTCATTGAAATCGACTTCCACTTGGATACCATTTCCGGTTATGATTTCGGAACTCTCAAAGATCTTACCTCCATCTCGTGTCAGTTTAATCTCCAAGTATCATAAGGACTTCAAAGTAAGTGCCACGTCAGCATTGTCATCACTTAGTTCTTGGCGTTCAAGATTTGTTTTCTGCTTACCTTTAATTTTGAAATGAGCCTAACACATTATCATCATTTTCCAGGAGAGAAAGATTCCAAGGCATGAGCTGATACAAAAATTCAGGCAAATAGCAGGGGATAGGTTGCTGAGTGGAATCTTTGAAAATCTCAGAACTAAGGTGTGGATTATGATCTCTTTAATAAATAGTAGTTCGAATGCACATCTAGTCCTTTGATGTCAAGTCATGGATAGAGTGAGCTTAGGTTGCATCGAAATACATTTGATGATAGTTTTACATTGAGTTGATAGTGAAAACTGAAATCACCTCGAGGAATAATTGAAGGATAATTATTCTTACTGATTTTTACTGTGGGTGGGTTGGTTATTGTTCTTTTCTCGCTTAAGATATATGCATTTACATTTGGCGTTAGGGTTATTGCCATTTTTTTCGCTATGTATTGTATGGTACCGTTCTTGGCATTGATCAAGTATCTATCTCTCTCTCTCTCTCTCTCTCTCTCTCTCTCTCTCTCTCTCTCTCTCTCTCTCTCTCTCTCTCTCTCTCGGCTATGGGTCATTGATTTAATATCATTCTATAGAGAACAAATATCGGTTTAGCATGGGTATACACAACAGAAGAGAGTATAATTTATTCCGTTTTGCAGCAATTTGGCGCGTCAAGCGGCTGATTATGGTACTGTGGCTGGACCTTAAAATGAATGAGGTGTAAGGCGTGTTAACAAGATCGGTTTTCATTTTGATGAATTCCTAGCACACATCAGTCCGAGGCAATGGTACACAAGATGTGGAGGAGGAGGCCCATTCGGAATCATAGATAGGAAAAAGAATCCTTTGGAATTTGTTTAATCTGCTGTTTTTGGGAATATTTGTGTTTGCTTCTATTCATCAGCTGTAGTTTTCTCTTTGTTCCTATGTCACATGACTGTTTGTTTCCAATAGGGATGGAGACCTTTGGAATTTGTTTGATTGGCTTTTGGAATATTTGTTTGCTTATGGTCCTCAAGCGTAGTTTTCTCTTGGTTTCTGTGTCACATGAAAGCAAAACTTTTCTTTGTTTGACATGTTGTGGAAATATTCACGGTATGATCCATGCAATTCCGTAGGAGGTGATTACATGTCCATCAAATGATGCCACAACACAACCAAATCCTAGAAATTTTTCGGCAAACCTTGATAAAAATGGTGAAATAGTGCTTTAGCTAGTTGGGTTTATGAGGCCTTAATTTCAATAATAAGTAATCTAATGCAGCGATACCAACTCGCTAAGCTTAGGTCAGCATTTGGGTTGGCGGAAAATGATTCCTGTAATGCCTTTTTGGCACTGGCATGGTCACTGGAGTCTAGAGCTCGACCTTGAGGGATTTGGGTCCAACCGAGTACTCGGGCACAATTGGTGGGGATCCAAGCATGGGCATGGGGGACTTAGTGACAATGTTGAGAGACCCAAGTCTAGCTTTTGAGTAACCAAGCCTAGTTGTCGTGAAACCGGGACTGGCCCCGATGGACTAGAGCCGAAGTGCTAGTGACTTGTGCGTGGGTGCAAGGTACTCGAGCATGGAACCTGGACCTGAGCATAGGCACCAGCGAGTTGGGACCGACCTCGAGAGACCTGAGCGGAACTACGTACTATGGACCTAGGCTCGGCCTCTAGGACTCGAGCCCCACTACTAAAGACCCGGGCACAGGTGTCGAAATTCCCATGCTTGAGCGCCGAGGTCTGCGGCCCAAACATCCATGGAAAGTCGTATTTTCAAAATTTGATTTCTAAATTTTTATAAAAGGAAAGAATTTTATTAATTTCAGGCTAGACTTTCCGTTGATCATGAAAAGAATTACCGTTTAAGCGATCCAAATGTCGGAACATATTTTCGGATAAATTTTTTTGGTGAAACAAATAGAGCTTTAAAACGTAAATAGTTGCTGGGACCGGATTGCATTCTCTCTTTTACTTTCGTTTCCTTTCTTTTCTTTTATGGGAAAGCTGCACTTCTTTGCTTCCCGTTAAAAGGTCTAATCCCTATCCTTTCTAGCACTTTCAGAATGAGCACAAAACAAGAATGACGGATTGATGGAGCCAGCTTTTTTGTTTTCCATTTTTTTTCCATTTCTTTTTTGCGAAATAATATAATGATAGGATATACTTTTTCCTAGTCAGTAGGAAAATAGCGATTTCCAGCGGAAGAAGAAAGAATCAGGTATTTGCTAATTTGGAAGCACCATTCATAGTACAACTTATTGACAAAACCTAACCAACGACGCCGCCAATTCCATCCTTGACTAATTCGATCAAATTAAATTATCAATCTCAAATACCATAATTATTCTAAAGAAAAGGTTGTGTTCATGATAAGATGTTATAATCTTAAATCCACTAATACTTTGCTTGGTTAAGTAATATAGGAAGGATAGTCGTCGATGCTTTGATAGGCACCTAAGGTAACTCGCCTATTTTGGTAGTGTGAATTTCAATTTCACTATAACCAAAGAGATTCTATTACTCTTTTTATTTTGACAAGGGTGGCGAGTGGCAACAGCAATAGCAACACCACTGAATGTTAAGGGCCTTCCACTATGGGATATTCAGTTCGAGCCATAGTTATTTCGCACTACCCACAACTGGAAGGTCCGAGATTGACAAGCTTGTCACCACAGCCTTAGCACGTAGGGGTGTGCAACCAGACCGGGTTTACTCGGAAACCGGACCGGCCTACCCAAAAAATAGGTCCGGGAACCGGTTCTAACAAGAACCGGTCCGGGAACCGGTTCCATTTTTTGGGAACTGGTTATAACCGGTCCGATTTCCGATTCCAAGTAAAAACCGACCCAAACCGGTTTTAGAATCGGTTTTGAGATAATGTAAAAAAAAGTAAAAACCCTAGATTACGTTACCCTACCCGGCTACCTAGTCTGTCTTTCACGGTTTCTCTCTTCTCTCTTCGCGACCTCTTTTGTCTCTCATGATTTCTCTATTCGCAAGCGCCTCCTCAGTCGTCGTAAGAATGCAATCCAGCTCGTCGCCTACCTATGTGTTGAAGAGGCTAGGGTTCGGTCATCTTGGCGTCCGTACTATGCGTGTGTTTTTTCCGCCTTTTTGGCTTGCCGATCAGGTAGATCTTTTACTTTGAATTGTTTCATTACTACCTATATTATTTTGCTAGAAAAAAATGAAACCAGAAAAAGGAACAAAAAAAAAAAAAACAGGTTCTCGGGTAAACCCTGAAACCGGATCGGAAAATCAGGGTTGGTTTCAAATCAGGGTCTAGGAAAAACAGGGTAGGTTTCAGGTTCCAAAAATTGAAAATCGATTATAATAGGGTTGATTTCAGGTTCCAAATATGGATCCAACCCACCTGGAACCGATCACCTCTACTTACACGAAATGAGTCTGCAAAATCATACTTAGTTACGTTTCGTCAATTCACCCCTCCTTGGTTGTTATATCTGAATGTAACAACTACAACAAACTGACTTGACTCAAATTTTAATTTAAATTATTTTAATTGTTATTCTCGGATAAGCGGATTTGTTACACCGCAAATTATATTCTAAAAAGGTGCATTTGGACCGATATATTGCAAGTTTAAGATAGATGTATTGTAATTTTTGAAGTAACGGGATCTATGTTCTATTTAATTTTCTTATAATTAAACATAGGAAAGATAATCAACTATATTTATATAAGCTATAATGTTTTAAAATTCTGTTTAATTGATAGTCAAAGTGGAAGTGAGGGTGACTTATCTCTGGACAGACTGAATTGAACTTCTCGAACAATCTAATTTAATCTAAATATTTTATTTATCATTAAAATGTATCTTTAGTTTGTTCTTTTTTTTTGTTTAGTCTTAATTAAAATGAATTTCTCTATTTGACGAAATTTCTGCACACACCAAACTTGAATAAAATAAATTAAAAATATTAACATGACAAAGATGTATTTATTGATAACACATCTTCGGAGTGCAACCTCTTCGCTTAATGAAATAAGTTATAGATATTGCAATGATAACATGAGATACACATATCTTTACTCTTATGGTAAACATGATTAATGGATGATAAATTTTTAAAATATTAAATATGTCTTCATTTAACAGTTTAAGCTTTTAGAAGAGTTGGAAGTGGTTCCACAAAATTTCGTATGGCATTACAATTTCTATTTTAGGCTCTGTTTGTTTCGCAGAAAATATGATATTTTTAGAAAATATTTTTTAGAAAAATAAACAATATTTTCTGGTGTTTAGCAAAAACTTGAAAATGAACTAGAAAATAATTTATACTGTTTGATATGAAAAATTTGATTTGATTTTCCTAAAGAAAATTACCAAACATTCTATTTTTTTTCTTTTTTCTCTTTCTTTTTCCTTCTTCCTTAGCCGGTGGCTAGCCATGGCGACAACCGGCGACTAGCCTAAAGCTAGTCCCTCGCCACAAGTGAGGGATGAGCTCGCCCAAGGCTAGCGAGGCTCAATATCACTAGATTCTGACAAGTTGAGCCAAGCCAGCCTTGGGCAAGGCTCCACCTCGCCAGATTTGAAGACCTCAAGCCTTACCAGATTAATGAGGTCAAGCTTGCCATGACTTGCGAGGCCTCGATCTTACTGTGACCCATCGACCTCTAGTAAGGCCTCGAGCTCACCGTCGACTTGTGAGGCCATGAGCTCACTGCCTCCTCCTCGAGCTTGCCATGATTCACTGACCTTTGGCAAGGCCTCAAGCCTCATCGGCCTTGGGCGAGCTCGTCCCTCGCCCGTGGCTAGTCATCGGCCACTGCCGTGGCTGGCCACCGGCCGAGGAAGAAGGAAAAAGAAAAAGAAATAAAAAAAATATAATATAATTAAATATTAAAGACTTAAGCTCGAGTGCCGAAGACTCATGCTCGGCCTTTGTGAACCCAAGCCTAAGTGCCAGGGACCAGAGCTTGAGCATCGGGGACCCAAGCATAGCATTTATGAACCCGGGCTCAAGTGCTAGGACATCAGGCATGGGCACTAGGGCTTTGGGCCTAGGCTCAACGGACCTGGGCATGGATGCCAGGGCATCAAACTCGAGCACTAGGATCCTAGGCTAGACCTCGATGGACCCGAGCTCAAGCGTCGGAGACCTGGTCCTGAATGCCGGGGACCCTGGAACTGCCATTTGGGTTTTCATACTCAAGAGTAGAGTTTCAAGTTCAAGCATCGATACCTAGTTATTTTTTGGACAATGTTTTCCAATTTTCCAAGAGGAAATCATTTTCCATTGAGTCATTTT